TTAAATTAATTATTTTTTTAAGTTAGTGGCAGCATGTTGCAGTTTATTGGGAAGTGGGACTTTGCTCACTTTTTTTTCTCCTCTTTTCTCATATGCACGTTTTCTTTGATTGGTGAATATTTATTGATAATGTAAACATTTATATCATTCTTCTTCATCCTTTTAAACAAAAGTGTGAAAAGTTGATGTTATATCTTCTCTAGAAGATTTGCATGTCTTCACTTTTTATATTGTTAAATTTTTTTTTGGTTTTTTAATTTTTCAAGTTGAAAGTTTTTATATTTGGGCGAAAATTAAGGAGATAGTAATTGATTGTGGGTATCAATTGCCATGGTTAAGAAAAATATTCCTAGAATTATTCCTAAAAAAGGAGATTCTGATTTTGATTTTGTTGAATCACCATCCAAAACTTCAAATTTTAGTCATGCAAGTTCTTCGCGGTATCCGATTCGTAGTAAGGATAATTTTAAAGGTAAACAATGTGAATTGGTTGGTGTTGTTGATAAAAAAAAATTCAGAAAAGAGTTATTTCTGTTGATGTTGCTAGAAGGAGAAGGATTATAGAAAGTGATGTATCGTCTAACTTTGAATATTTTTTACTTGTGTAATGCTGAGCATTTTAATTTCCAAGTGCAATCCTCATTTACACATTGAAGGAAGATTATGGAATGTATACAAATATTTAGTGAATGAATACACAAATATGTATACATGAATTTTTGTATACATGATTGTTCATTCAAATGTTAAAAACTCATTCATGTGATAAAAAAATATTCGATTCAGTGTATATATTTTTAGTGAATGAATACACGAATATGTATACATGAATGCATTGTATACATGATTGTTCATTCACGTGATAAAAAGCCAATCATGTGATAAAAGATAATTTAGTTAACTATTTACCTATTAATCTAATAATGAAATCCAAAGGAATTGATGAAAGTATCGACATTTAGATGGGTTGAAATTAATTTGAATCAATCAAAATCAATATTTGTTGTAATAGCCACCCCTTCTGTTGAATAAACAAAATAATTTTTACTATCGCATTCTTCGCTATGATGAATCAAAACTATCAAAGATGTCATCTATTTTTCTCTGTTTGTTGTTGAAGTGCGTTCATTTTTTTGGATACACTGATTTTGAATTGGTGAATTTCATGGAAAATGAATGACCATCTTTATCAATACAAGAGTTAAATATACCCATGAAAAAAAAACCACGTCTCCTTAATTTATGCTAATAATTAACTGCTGGTTTCATAATGGAGGGAAAAAATGCCTATTAATATGCCGAATTAATTTTAGGATAATTTGTGCTAATACTTTATTTGTCTATTTAATGCTTATTAATGTTGGGCTATATGTTGCTAATAGTTATTAGCAGTTGTCTATATATGTCATTTCCTCCTTATAATAGTATTATTTATTTTTAGAAAAATTAATTAACCCAAATGCTAAGTAATTTACCTTCCTTGTACAGTTGGTTATATTTTGCAATAAAAGGGGTCTATGCCCGACTTTAATTTTTAAAAAAAAAAAAGTAATTTACCTTCATATCAAATCCTTAACGGCCTCTGTAGAGAACACTTTTTTAGTTATGGCCCCATTAATTTATTTAATATAAATATGTAAAATATATTTTTTAAAATCATGTAAAATTTGGATCACTAGGAGTAGAAAATATTGCAAGTTGTAACCTAGTATAAAATAGAAACAAATAAATATGGCGGGTATTAGATGCTCGAGTATCTATTGACTCCAACATTTTTTATAGAAAAATGGATTAAAAAAAGAAGAAGAGGAAGTAAATAAGCACCCATTGAACAAAAGATTAGTGGATACTTTGGTTCTAACTTTAATGTTATAAGGTGTGCTGCCTGCTAGTTACGATTTCGAATCTTGTAACAACATTTTTTTATAAATTGCACCTTTTCTTATTTCAATTTTAAAAAATCATACTTTTTCTCTCTTTTAATTTTTTGATTTAGATAGTGTCATTTAGCTTTTTAACTTTTCTATTTTTAAAAACCATTTGGTGTCTTTTTCTTTATTGTAACTCGTGATTATAAGTTATTTTTGATGATGATAAATTAATTATTGTTTATCATGTACTTTTTTATTGACATGCTCAAGTTGCTATACATTTATACTCTATGATTGCTAGCAATTTTCTGTTAAAGAAAGTGAGCATCCATGAATTTCAAATTCTGAATCCGCCATTGAGTATGAATTTTTATCGGATATTGAATGAGTTAGTCAACCCGTTTCATCATCTTATTATTGTTTATGAGTGTTAACTTGATATTAAACAAAGTGATCGCCCACGAACTTTGAATGTTTTGAAAATACTCCCTTTCAAGATTATCATATTGATTTAGAGTTGCGTCTATGAAATATGCAGCTATAGAGCGTACTCAAATGCGGAACCAACTTTTGACAATTTACAATTAGTGACAGTTTAAGATAAGCAGTGACTTAAAGTAAAAAATAAATAGGAGATCTAGCTTTTATTTTTTATTTTTAAAATTTTAAAGTTGTTTCTTCTTTTTAATGATTTCAAATCACGATATGAAATCGCATGTCCAAACATGTACCTAATATGAAACAAATAATTATTGCTCCCTTTGTTCCTCTTTTCGTCATCACAATTTCCTCGTTCAATATAATGTCATACTATACATCAATAATTTATTGGATAAATTTATAAAAAAAAGTAGGAGATGAAATATAGTTATTTTAAATAGATAAAATAAATGATAAAATAGAATTATTAGATATTCTAGAAGACAGACAAAATAATAAACACTTTAACATAATTTAAAAAATATTAAAATGCTTATAGAACCTCACAAAACCAACAAGTTTAAAAAAAATACAAAGTATCCAAACATATTGAAGCTACAGAATCAATATAAGGTGTGGGATGTCAAAACAGTGTAAATATAAGCTAAAATTTTGAATTCTTTTACAATTTTAAATTAATTAATTTACATAATTAGTTTACTTGAAGATCATAGATAATCGTCTATATAGTTGACATAGATTTGTATGGGCTTGTTCATCCAACTTGGAGAAGTCAGTAGCATTATGTATATATAATTTCTCCACAATAATAACATATCGAATGTAATTCTATAAAATGGCATCTGAGAAAGTAAATGTATGTGTCAATAATTTAAAAGAAGCTATTAGTGATTATTTACTCTAGTACTTCAATGAGGGTATTTGTGGTACACTCATTATTTTCTTATATAGTTAAATTTAATTTTTAAATTTTTAATTAATTGACACTAGAACTTTGTTCATATTTTAGAATTTAAAATTAAACTACTTGAAGTTTATTAACTATCAATAAAGAAATTTAGAATAAGAACCAAGGTATTAAAATGCACTTAATGGCTTACAATTATTAACTTGAAGAATCAATCCTAAGTTATATAATAAAATACTTGACTTTATACAAACCTCAAGAAAGATTTTATGAAAGGTGTATTTAGTAATTAGACTGACTTTATTAATGACTCAACTCAAGTAAAAGCATTACAACATATATACATTTTAGAATAATATGACAACTTGACCACACTTAGGCGTGAGAATAGAGTTAATCCCAAATGATACCATTTCATTTGGTGAAATGCACAGAAGTAGAATCCATAGTTTAACTTTGATGGAGAGTGATGAATGTTGATAACCATGCGGATGGTCGAGAAAATGGAGCAAATGGAGCAGTTGTACTGTCGGTCGAAGTCAATTTAAAATTGAGACCGTAATTCAAAACTGCAACGTACGTACTCGAATGCAGAAGAAATAGCTTACTTCATATCCTAGAATTCGTCTTTTCAAGTTTAAATTTCATTTTGTATTGGTTGCAATTGTAAAGCAATTGAGATGGTAGCTCCAGTTTGTAGTCCTTTCCAATTTAGCACTAGAATGATGTTTTTCTTAATGACTTTGAGTCCTTCTACTAAGAAATACTTAGGTTCTTGCGGCATTACGTGACTCAGAGGATTGAACCACCAAATGATACCATTGGGTTTGCTGACTTACATGGGAACATGAATCCCTGGCACGATTTTGATCCTTCCCTCCCATACACCAAATATGTCATATCCCAAAGAACAACCACACGAAGGGGAAGAACAAAAAGGAAAGTGGGGGAGGGAAGGTGGATATGTGCTAGAAGACGTATCGACATTGGTCAACAAGGCTCAAGGAAGAGGTTCAAGTTCAAGTTTCTAGGAAACGGTGATGTTGAAGAAAATATTCTGGATCTTACACGAGTACTTCGGTCGGAATGTTGGATGATCTAAAAACTTGCCTACTTTGCAGACTAGAAATGATTCAAAAAAGACAAATAGTTCTAGTTCAAGGAGAAGAAACTGTAGTTCAAGATCAACAAGTTGCAAATGAGGACAATTATGTACTTCTAGAGTTCTAGTATGAACTACATTTTTTGATTGTGACATATATAGCTAAATGTTCGTTCTTCATGTTAAATCTTGTATTTGGGTTATGAGGATAATCTTGACTTGGAATTTGATTCCAAAATGTGAAAGCCTATGTACTTCTAGAGTTCTAGTATGAACTACATTTTTTGATTGTGACATATATAGCTAAATGTTCGTTCTTCATGTTAAATCTTGTATTTGGGTTATGAGGATAATCTTGACTTGGAATTTGATTCCAAAATGTGAAAGCCTATGTACTTCTAGAGTTCTAGTATGAACTACATTTTTTGATTGTGACATATATAGCTGGCTAGACATCCTCGGAATGCTATGGAACATCATATGAAAGGAAAAGATTAAATTGCATGCAGCAGAAATAGGAGACGGTCAAATAGGCCATATTTTGCCCAAACCAATTACCTATGCATCCAAATATACATGTAGAAACAAGAATCCTCCCTCTGCAGTTGAAACATTTTGTCTAATTAAGGAATTCAAATGCACACAGCCTAATATAGAGAAGAATATATATATAGTCGAATTCACGCAACAAAGGAACTACGTGTCTTGATGTACTGAAGAGCAGCAAACAAATAGTACCCAATATGGTTTCGTCTTCCTCTTTTCCTTCTTGATGTCAACAGGATACCTCGCGGGAGAATTCCATTCTTTCTCCGCCTCTTTACTTACAGCAGTTGGTGCCTCTGAGCTCAGAATCGAGTTCACTGTCGTTGTCTTAGTACTTGCAGTTTCATCTTTCTTGTTAGCTGATGGCGGAACTTGTTTTACGTTTGGAGATCTGGCTTCACCAAGTAGACTTTTCAAGGGAGTGTGTTGCTGCTTCCCGGTGCTCCAGTTTGTGACTTTTGCAATTATCTCCTCATTCTTCTTTCTCCCTTGAGATTCATTCAGCACATTCGTAATAGAAGGGAACCAACCTGCTTTAAGAGATTCTGTTTTCGGCCGTTGAGCGTTCAGCTGTGTTTCGATCTCAGAAGCAGTGGCTTTCTTGTTAGCACTACTTTCACCCGATTCAACCAATGTCATGAAAGACGGAGGCACATAAACATCCGACTTGTCAGGATGGCACTCCTCAGATCCAGAAGTTGTTTTCTGCAAGTCATGCTCCGACTTCTCGAGTCTTTGAGTATCAGTTGTTTCAGCATCAGGAATGGCAGTCGACTCGGACTGGGTAGAAAGAACTGTTTCATCACAAACAGCAGAATGAATTAGAATGAGACCAAAAAAAAAACTCATTTTGAACCTTTCTACGATGACAAAAGGCAACCAAAATTGACTTCCAATAAATGCTTTTCATCATTCGGTATATCTAGAAAGAGGAAACAAAAGTGATTATACCTGATATAGAACCCCAGTTGGCATCCAAGCTATCAGCTCTGCTACTTGATGAAATTGGTGTATCCACTGCAGAAACAGTTTCGTTCTGTTTTATGAGCTTGTCATAACCCTCATTCTGTGAGGCTGATGAAATGACACCAGTGGCACTTTTAAGGACATCTCCTGCAGGGGAGTTAACGACAACACGATTGTTCAAATCAGTATCACCAACAGAATTGTTCAAATCAGTATCACCGACACGACTGTTCAAATCAGTATCAACAACACAACTGTTCAAATCAGTGCGCTCTTTCACGTCACAATCACTGATTACTTTGGAATCCAATCCAGTTGCACTTGCAGACTCCAATGCTTTGGCATCATTGCTAATTGACGCATCTTCAGAGGCTTCATGAAAAATTTCTTTCCTGCTTTCATGCACAGTTGTGTCTGTAACTATAGCAAGGTCATTATGTCCTCCAACTGGGCAGATATCACCTTCAGAAACTCCTGCCAGCTTTTCCTCAGTCCTTTCTTTCTCAGTTTCACCCCCAGCTCCAATTGGGCATTCGGTTCCGACCTTTTCATGTTCGCCATGGTCACTTCCTCCAAGAGTGACCGTAGTTTGAATAGCTTCAGATAAACAAGAAATGGGCTACAGGGGTTGTTTCATTGTTTGCAAGAAGCTCATTTTCTGGATGTCCACCCTTGTTCACCTCTTCCATGGTAAAACTTGTTTCTTCGGTTCTTTCAATTACAGGATCATCAACTCCGGTTCTTTCAATTACAGGATCATCAACTCCTGTTGATTGCTTGTCATCTGAAAGAGAATTCTTTGAAGTGTCTTCAGGTTCTTGAAGACTATTGGAGTTCAGAATACTCGACACTCCACACTCGAAGGTATTCGGATTGGATGATAATCCACTTGAATCTGTTATACCCTCTGCGGAGACCGCCACCTTTTCTTCACTAACCTGATCCCCTGAAACATCCAAAGCTACTGAGGATATGCTTCCATCAGACCTGCCAGTGCCCACAAAAGACTGAGTCACCTCTTTAAGCAGTTCGGGGTTGTCTGATGCAGGTAAATCTTTTGCCAAAGACACCACATGCACAACTTCCATCCCTTCCTCAGCTTTGGATGAGTCAGAAAGCTCCATTTGACGACCAACATCTATTTCATTAGTCGAAACAGCTTTCAATTCCAATGTAGGTGCATTAGGTGAAAGTTCAGTGGAGATTCTCTGTTTGTCCTGCTCCGCCTTATCATGTTGCTCATGCTCCTTATCTTCGGAAAACGCCAATTTCAACTCAGTAGAATCAGGATTTTCTCTCTCGTTATGCTGTAGTTCCTCTTTGTTGGGAACATTTTCTGTGGCTTGATCCTCTGCCTCAAGTAACTTAGACTCCACGACTGAAAATTCTCCCTCTGCCTCCTGTGGCTTTGACTCATAACTTTCATTATTTGACGTCTTATAATCTGTATCAGATACCACTGATTGAGACACTTCGACAGAAGCCATCTGCATTTTTTTGGCTTCAATTGATTCAGCTGCATTCATCTCCTGCACAGAAGCAGCCCCTAGGATCTCAGATTTAACAGCACTAGCGTCCACTTGTAAGTCAACTGGTCTGTCAAGCTTTGAACCCAAACATTTATCTGACACTGGCTGAATGGTTGCACTTTTAGGTGACTCTGGATCATTTACTTCTGCAGTGAGCTGGTTGTCATTTACAGAAACTGAGATACCTACAACCAGACAGTGCACCTCAAATTCGTCAAATCCATATTAATGTAATTAATGAATGAAATGCAGTCTTCTATATGTGAAGGCAGATTGCTAAACGTAAGTAGCAGAATGAAACAATTAAGGAACAAACAACCAAAATGATTTATGTAGGTAAAGGTGCTTTTGACACAAAGAAGAAGCTCCTCTATTTTCCATAGATTATCGCATTTTATTACATTCATTCAAGGATGTTGTGCAGTTCAAATGATACATCTATTGACTACCAAGCCTCATTGCCCACCCAAAAAGGGAAATGAGACACATTGGATGAAAGAAAAGAAAAGAAGGGAACAATTTGGATAACTTCATTTTTAGCATTCTTCCTAATCTTGATCATCGTTTTCGTTTTACCATTCTTGATCATCGTTTCTTCCAATTTCAACCATGTATCAAGGAAATATCATCTCATACTCCCTATATTGCTTAAAACCACATTTTATTACGGTCTTGGTAGTTTATCTTTCTCGTAGGAGTAGCTTCTCACGGCCTACTGCTTTGGAATGATCACGGTGGTGCTCTTTAAAATTTCTCTCACATATCATAGCTTTCCATGACTTAGAACTGGTTTAAAATTGGAAGACAAATAAACATGGAAATCACAATATCATCGGATGGAAGAATATCATGTCTAAGGACCGTTCTTAAGTTTTTCTTTGACATTATGTCTGTTTTTTGGTTTGGAGAAAATTAGGGATGTGTATATAAGGTTAATTTAGTAGATGAAGGTATATATATATAAGAAGGGAACTATTGGTGGTTGTGAGGAAAAAAAAAAAGGATTCGTGCTTGTATTAGAAAAATTAAATACTTTCCTTTAGCGGCTTGTATTAGGACTAGGTATATAAAAATGACTTTTTTACCATAATCTTTAAAATATCCTACCATTTAAAAAAATTTAAATGCATATCCATATGTCCTATCTAAATAATGTAATTAACTCTTTAACAAGTATATATAGGAAAAGGTAGCATTATCGGACTAGCTAACGGTTGCTAAGCTTGGCCCAAGCCCATCTAGCTTTTAGAAGCCTATTGCATACTCCCTCCGTCCCTATTTACTTGTCCATATTTCCTTTTTTAGTTGTCCCTATTTAGTTGTCCATTTTGACAAATCAAGAAAGAACAACAAATTTTTTCCTATTATACCCTTATTTACACTTCTTGAAAATTGTAAAAGTGTATGTTGTTTCCCTCCAATTTATTTCACTTTAATTCAAATAAGTGGTTGTAATTTTGAAGTGAAAAGTTGTCATAAGGGTAAAATTGTAACTTCACTGTGCTAATCATTGTTGCCTTAATCTGTGTGTCATTTCTAAAGTGGACAACTAAAAAGGGATGGAGGGAGTACATAATTTGTCTACAATTATCAAACAGTACTAGCTCCAGTTTCATTAATAGTATTAGTCAAAGTCTACAAAATACACATAGGAATTAGGATATGAAAAATGATAATAGGTTTCAACTAACATCTAGCCTTATGGTGTACATATTTGTTACTTCTGGGAGGGATCTGCTGAAACATCGAAACCCGGAGGAACAAATACAACATCGTCCCACTGTGATGTCGAAGAATCCTGCAAAAATATGTTCATACTTTGTCAACCGCACAGACTACATTACCGTCATGAGTTTGAACTTGGTATTTAAATGGAGAAAAGGTAGAGGGGCGAACTCATCCATCCATTGAGTTTTGAATTGTGAGCTAGCAGGCCCTCGAGGATTTCTTGGTTGTCAAAAATATAGAATTGTACGTATAAGAGGTTAAAGTGCGTAAGAGGACGACAGAACTTGGTTGAGGATTCTTACCTTCATACCTTGTATTATATCCTCCAGAACGCCAACCTTGTTAATTCAGATGAAAATTCTTGGTCATGAAGCTAAGACACCAACAATAGATAAACAGTAAGAACCAACAGACGTACCTGAATATCTCCTTTCAAAGCGGGATTCAATCGCCCTTGCTGCTGAGAAGCTCTTACTAGTGAACTCTCTAGGTCCTCCTGCATAAGTTGACGAAATTACAAGAAGGGAGATAAAGCATTGTATCACATTAGTGGATACTAACTCAAGACAATTAGCTTACCTTCCTGAAGAAAACAGGACGATATCTCTTGTTTTGGCTTCTTAGAATTAAGCTCCTCGACTGTAAATAAATATCAATCAGATGGATAGTTGGCATTTCAATATATGAGGTCGAAAAGTACAAAGGACCTTTATGTGGCATGAAATTGTCAGCCCACAATTCATATAATTTTCGAATCTAACAATACAAAATCTGTTGTCAAATTATCTGAATGTGATATTCAATATGTTGGCATGCAACTTATTTCTTTTTCTTTTTTTTAAAGGTGGTGTCCGCAACAAGTTGCACACACCTCGACAAGTCCACTGGATCCTACCATTACAAGTATCGGATTACTCTACCCGCCAAAACATCGATAGATGGGAAGAAATCACCTAAACTTTTTTGACTTTGCTAGGATTGGATACATGGTCTTCCATAGTCTTCATTCCAACTTCAACGAGCAATAGGACATACTTCTGAGTACATTTTGGCATGGTTCCAAACTAATCCAACACCGAAACAACTTTCAACTAACTTTTGACACCATTTTTTTTAACTGATTAGATTTAAGCAAACTGTGAAACATCGGAACACCTTCATATGTTCTAAAGTTAAATTTGCATCATGCTATACAGGCGTGAGGAGTCAAAGGATAGCAACATCCAAGACGGTGAAAAAGAGCAATGCTAAGTTGTTTGAAATGCCTGGACAGCATTTGGGTGGATTAATTCTTCTTTTTACGTTAATCACTTTGGGCATTTAATACAACACATAGATTTAAAACAGATTGGGTCGTGTCCAGGCTTGAAGGTACCGGATGTTTCCCTGATTAATCTATCAGTTCTTTTGGCTACAAGTAAAAGAGAAGGCAATTCCATCTGCAGATCTGCTAAGTGTATCAATTGACCGTATGAGTATTGTGTCTATGGAGTCCTCTTCCTCATCAACAGACCAATGTTATCAAATGCAAAAAGCGCAAAAAAGCATCTAAGATCAGTTGGGCTTCAAGCGCAAAGTAAAATTGAAAAAAGGGTCGTGATAAAGTGAAATATAAATTGTTAAACCTTTTCAGGATTACGCTCTATGATAAGGAAAAGTATGCCTTAAGAGACTCGATGGCGACACTGAAGCGCCTGCTAAGCAAGGTGCAACACTCAATACGTTTTGCACCACGCTTCAGGCCTTAAGCGTTCCTTTGACAACACTGCAACTGACGTAGTCATCCTAGTTCAGATCATATTTCATTTAAAGCAGATGAAGCGAGCAAATCAGATACTTCCCCTCACACAGGAGGACATAGAATTAAGCACAATTGTTAAGGCAGATGAGCATTTCAGTGAAGCTATAAATATCAATTATAGCTGAGAACATACCTGAAAAACTGGAACACCATAAAAGCTCTCATCAGTCGTTCCAGTCCTTTCCCTTTCCTAGTTAAAAAAGGTAGTAGAATACGATCAGCTTTAAATCATAGAAGTTAAATTTAACGGTGCACAAAATGATATTTTAAACATGCTGATTAAAATTTCTATGCACAAAACCATTTTTGCCATTATCCTCACAGCAATATCACTTTAAAATGAGGTTTCCTACCATTTGACGGACCGATTTAATGTCATGATGCTATGTTTTGGTCCACAACTGGTACATACCTAATCTTTGTAAGGTATAAAGAAACTTACTGAGCAACAACTACCTTTTCATCCAATTTAATCCAAAAGCAATGTCTGCCTATACAAATTTATCCCGAAGATGAAGGAGAACATTTTAATACTCATCTGAAGTGCCACAAACTTTCGGATTTAGTGTCAAGCAAAAAGTCCTTCAGGCAAAAGTTTCTACTACTTATTGTACATGAAATACATTTCAGAACTTAGATAGTCGAAAACTTTGGAATACTTTGCAATAATCATGAACCCGGAAGCCATGATATTCTTCTATAATAGATTAATGGAGACCCCCAAAGCAAAAAACCCTTTTTTCTTATTAAGAACAGAAGAAACTGATTGACATAACGACAACACTTCTTTAAGGTAGACAAGCAAACCAGTATAAAATTCTTGAGACACCACTATGACGGCATGAGTACTCATCAACTTTCTTATAGATTTAAGACCACGCTTAGTCTACAACAAATTTACAAAATTTAGTATGGCTAGATATGCACCTTTATTGCATTCTTTACTTGAGATGCCTCTGGTATCAACCTGAAAGCAACTCCATCAACTTTGAGCTGGAAAACCTGCATCATTGACCATCAATTAGACAGAATAACGATTTTCTTCTGCAATCAAGAATCCAACTATCAGCCTTGGACAATCAAAAGACAGTTACTAGCGCAGTCCTCATCCTACTCGCTTTTGACTAATAATGTTGTCCTCGTGGTCAATGAAGTGAGACAAGAACTGAGAGGTCTCAAGTTCAAGTCCGAGCATAGGCAAGAAAAACACTAGGTGTTTCTTCTATGTTTTAGGAGAATTACCCTATAAAAATTTAAACAACAATCAAAGCAAATATTGTATATAAACTATCAACGAACAATCTTAATAGCTCAATTGATTAACTAAACGAATTTTCACCGTTCGATTCCCCTTCTTGTAATCCCCTCCCTTACCCCCAACAAGCTGTCAGTCCAGCACAGCTAAAACATAACACAATAATCACATCCCAATACACAACAACAGCAAAATGAAGCTAACCTTGTTGAGAGCAACAGGAACAACCCGAGAACCGTTTCGCATAGTGGGGTCCATTGATTCCATCTGCTGACGAAGTGCTTCAGCATCAGCTTCACTAAAGCAAAACAACCCCAAACTTTTTCCAGTACTAACACCCGAAACCAACACAAATTCTTGAGAAGCATTGCTAAGGGCATAAACAGGTACTCCACCCAACCGCTCTTCGATTGTTTCAGTAGATAAAGATTGCTTTTTTACACCAATTTTAGCCCATAGAGGTGAATTTTGAGAAGAATTAAGGGTGTTGAGTTGGGGAATAGTGGTTTGAAGGAAATTGGTGAAATGGGTCTGCATATTCTTGAAGGTTTGTTGGAGCTGTAGTTGTGGTGGTGGTGCTGGAGAAGATGATGATTGTTTCGATTTGAAGAAATTCATGACTTTTTTTTCTCTCTGTTTGGGAGCAATTACAGTGGAAATGGGTAAAAGGGTTTTTGAGGTTTTAATAGCGGCTAAAGATTTTGAGGAGTAACAAAAGAAAGTACGAATTAGGCATAATACATGAACGTGTCATCTAATTTAGCCTTGACAATTTAAATCTTACACAATATTGTACATAGTGTTC